TGCAGCAAGCTTGTAATTGTACATGGCCAATATACAGACTCCAGGGCCACTTTGGGTCTACCAGGTGCCAAGAAACAGCAGCTGGACATCTAGTCAAAATGCATGAACTTCTTGGGCAATCATCTAGCTCACCAACATGGGCTTCTCGGAGATAAAGGAACAAAGGAAAGCCAGGGCAGAGAAGCAAGGAAGGGCACCTGATGTAGGTGAATTAGACATCTTCAAGGTCTACTCACTGTGTTGGTGACGCCTGTTTTCAGTGATGACACTACATTAAGGAGGTATTTTGAATGCTTAATTAAAGCAAGGAAGGCAGAAGTCAGCTTGACTTGAGCAGAACACTGAAAGGACTATTGTGGTATACGTTAACCTCAACAGGAAGGTAGACCTCCACTGTAAAATATTCTTTGTGTGCTTCCTTTCTGCTCTTATGAGGCCAGAACCAAGAAAAGTACCAGACATATCTTTAGCTGCATAGAGCTAAAGGAGAAAAGCCCCTGACGCACCAATGCATTATTATATCCCCATTTTAACAACATATTTGTCCTTCGGCCAACACACTGTATTTAATCAGCTCTGAGATAATGCTTTACAAGCATTTCTAAGCAGCGGAGCATTTAAAACAAACGAATCTTTGCTGGAATCTTTTAATGCCATGTGGCAAAATCAGCTGCGGAGCAGTGTGTAATTGTCTGTAATTGATTATGAAGGGTGTTTTCCTCCACTGATGATTTATACCATATCCCGAAGCCTAGATCTGTCAGTTCTGGCACTCATGCTGTGAGATTTTAGCAGCCATGCAGAGATTTCCTATAATTGTCAGTCTTTTTGAAGGCTCTGCTATAAAGTTAATTTGAAGTCATATGCATATATGTATATAAATATAATTAGTAACTAACGCTATTAGCTGTTGATAGAAACGGTCCATCTGAGTGACTGGATCTAGGAAAATATAAGGTTAAATGCACTATATGAAACTGAGGATTCCTAATGTTAAGTACTGCCATTTAAAACACCCCTTCATGAAAAACACTCCTTTTGAAACACTTACACAACAACAAAATAACAAACGAGTACTACTAGGCAAGCCAATGGTTTCCATATAGCGAAATCTGAGGATAAAGCAAGAAACTAAAATAGGTATTAAGGTAAATTCCTTGCAACATATCCTACTGACAGTTGTGTATTAAATCTTTGTATTTCAGGGTCTATTCCTTAAAATGAATGGTATTTTTACACCTCAATACTGTGTGAAATACTATGTTACTTTACTTGTTCCAGATCACTTTCCTTTTTTTCAGGTTCCAGCTGCCGTCATAATTTTGAATTACCTATTTTGCTTGGTGAGCTTAAGTCTTACTTTAAACTGATCAGTCTTTGCTCATCACAAATATGCTCACTATATCTTTATGAAGGATTAGAATCAACAACCACAATAGATATAAATTAATGGGAATGTATTTAAAGTACTAAGCATAAGAAATCATTCCTCCCTATTTAAGACACATATATATGCCCAAGTTGAAGGGGTCCAGATTTGACAGATTAACTGTGATAGCACTTATGAAATGCTCTACTGATGACAAACACTTGTACCTGACTTTGGGCAAGTCACAAGAGATGGGACCTTCTATAACCACTAGAGCAGCACTGCCTTTTTGTCCATTTTAATTATAATTTATTTGTTAAATGGAAAAAAAAAAGTTCTACAAAACAGATGTGTATCCTATTGAAGGCTACTCTTTACCTTTTGGTTCACTGAACCCGTCACCTAAAGCCTATACTGCATATCGGCTTGTGATGTTCAATCCTACAAATACTTCTTCCCACTCCCTCGCAAGCTGGTACTTCTATGCAGAACATGGCTAATACTAACAGAGCACTGCAGCTCTATGCTTTTATATAAAGAGGAGGAACTGCTTGCTGATTTCCCTGCAAGCAGTTTCTATTTCGAAAACTAAGTACCAGATCCTAGTGAGCTGAGGATTGTAGGGGGAGGGAACTGATAATTCCTGACTTCATCATGACCCTTCCTATGAATGTGAAAAGAACCGCATTTTGGCAGGAAAAAAAATGCCTGCACGTGGGGAATGATAAAATCCTGTAGTAGCTCAGACTAAATAGCGTACGAGAATCCAGGCCTGCAAACCAAACCATATGTTACTCAGCGAGACTCTTATCCCGCTTAGACAAGATGGCATCACAGTCATGCAAATGCCTCTTTGTGAACCAGGATTATTTTCATATCCAGATCCTTCAGGAGGCTTGACCCAGCAGAAGAGAGCTTTGAAAACACTATCAAGAATTCCCCAATCTATGGCCTCATTTCTCTGGAATTCCAACAAATCCCATCACCCAGCCCCAGATCTCTGCCCAGCTCGCAGAGTCTACCTGCCACGAGCATCTCCCCTGCTCACTCTCACCCACCCTCTCAACAACTCGGCCACTTTCTCTATTCCTCCTACACAGAGCACAGCACAAAGGCAAGGAAGAACCTTCTGTGATCAATAGATAAATGAAGGTTTAGTGACAAAACCCCACCAGGCTTTAAATACAATCCTCTGCAATACAAATAAACTGAACCAAAAAAAGTAAGCCTGATGGTACAACAAAACAAACAGAGTTCAATAATCCAGAAACACATACTCATTAAATAAAACATCTCCCGGATTATTTTTTAATTCTTGATTTGCGACAACAATTCTGAAATTCAGAAGCAGCCTTAAAAGATGCAGAAACTAAACAACTGCTGCAGCCTTAGAGACCAAGGACTAACTGAAAAATTAAGGAATCTTCACTGTTGATGAGCATGTCTTCAGGGACTGCTCATCTCACCCTGCCTCTGCAGGCTAATACAAACAACTAGAGAAATGACCAGTGAAATCATCAGAACAGAAATACAGGTTTCTTTCAACACTTACAGTAGTTATACTTTCCTCTATGAAGATACAAAAGCAGAGAGCCCTTCAATGAGAAACTCCTCATAAATAAAATAAATACTCGTGAGAATTGAGAGTAGTGGAATTTTTGCTTAGGGGTTGAAATAGGATTTGCATTTTCAAACATTTACTGTTTTTCAAAAAATTATTCCCACTTTTAATAGCAAAATGCTGGTTTTGCTAAGAAAATATAGAAAACCAAAATAAACCGATGAAACCCTATCTGACAAGCATGTTGTAAGACAGATATTTTTTCCTCTGTAAAAACAATAGCTTTGGAGAAGGTCCATATTGCATCATTTAATGATAAATAACTAAACCGAGGACAGTGGTTGGCACTGCTGTCACATGCAATGAAATAACACTCTCCCCCTAAGGAACCATTTCCAACTGACACAACTGAGCTCACACAAACCCTAGGTATTTTTTATGCCGTCAACTTATCTCTGAGTCATTATGATGCTTTTATATTCAGGCAGAACTCTAATACATGTCTTTTATCTGAGCAGCTGATGTATATCTCTCTCTGGTTAAGTATACAACATTTGAAAAGCCTTCTTTGTCCAGAAAGCTACACAGATTTTTAGCCATAAAGTCCCTCTTCTTCCCAGGGATTTCCAAGCAAATGAGTAAAATCATAAAATTACAAAAAACCAAAAAGTGACAAAGTCAGAAAAAATATGAATTAGCACTTTTGTTCATGAAACAAACCAAGTATTTTTCAGATCGGACAAAGTTCATGTCCCTCACCTCAAGATTTTGTAGAATACTGCACTTTAGAGGAAGATGACTAAAGCATTACTACTCTGTAGCATTTTTCACCAAGGAGATTCAGAAACCATGAAACAAGAAAAAAGTAATACTGTTCAAAATCCCAAGACCAAGCTCCACCCTAACTCTGTGTGATCGTGCATCTAAGTTTCAAACACTTACCCACACTGAAGAACTATTTTTAAGATACACATATTACTCTGACAGTGATAATACCCTGGACAGGCTGTAAAAACAATCTGCAGAAATTCTGCACAACCTATTCATGGTGCAGCCGGACCCGAACTAAACCCTCAGATCCAAACCCCCTGACCCGATTTTGAATAATGAGGTGAACCACAGCCTCAGATGCCAACACCCCTCCACCTCTCAGGGCTGAAACCTGGGGGTGGATTTGGTGGGTTCAGAAGTCTATCCTGAAGACCTACTGCAAGACAATCAAAACATGTTAAAACTCCAGCTTCAAAAGAAACAGGTCTTTCAGGAGAGGATAGTATGTGGGAATGGAGGCTGTTTTGGCAAGTGATAGCCTGTGACGAAACCGAAGTCCTGTTACTCGTTCAACTGGTTTAGTTACTCGTAGTATTGCCCTCTCCAGAAACGCTCATTGCCAGCCACAAGCAATTGTAAAATTATTTCATGCGATGCTGTTGTGTGCATTTTAAATCTGACATTTGCTTTTGTTCCCCACTTAAAAGCATCAGCATCTTAATCAAACTGTCTGAGATCTGATATAGTATCTCCCCTATTTTTACTTTATTACAGTCTTTATTCTATTTTGGGGTGGTTTCTGGATGCTTGGCTATGAAATTCCCTCCCCTCAGTCTTCAAAATTCTTCCTGAAAAATACTTCTCTGTATCTGGTACCTAGTTACTACAATAATAGTCACCTTAGAAACATTATAAATACACAATTAAATAGAGTTCTGTTCCAAAGTCCATTAAGTCAGTAAAAATTTTTCCATTGACTTCAATGAGCTGTGGGATCAGGCCCCAAAATACTTTAAATACATTTTTTCCATCTATAGACTGCTAATACAGAACACATTCCATTTTTTACATTTCTCCTCTAACATCTCTGCCCTGATTTCCTTGCCTTGAGACATACATTGCTGTGTTAAGATATACTTTCTTCCCATGCCAGTCTCCTAGATGCCAGATTAAATCCCACCCCTACTGCAATTGGGTATAATGCTTATTTATTCCCCTTTCCAAAGCTTTCATCAGAAGGATGTGCTGGCTTAGTTGTTTGGTAAAAGTTTTTTTAACTCTTTATCTACTTTCTGTTACCTGTCTGCGCAGAGGGATTCGCTTTGTCAGCTTATGGACAGCGGGCTGGCTGCTGAAATCGGGCTTCTTGGTGGTGTTCTTCATGCGACACAGGATGACTGTCAGCACCATGCAGGCAATTAAGAAGACCCCTATGCAGTAAATTGCTATTTCCAGGTAGTCTGGAGATGTCGGATATTCTTTTTCTTTTTCAGGAGCTGGATTGGAAGTTTTTAGGAGGGAACAATCATGCCACAGAGTTAGCACACAGTAAAGCATAGTTCAGTATAGTGCTTGGAACAACTTGAAATGGTAAAATATTAGCAATTCTCGCAGTGGCTGTGTGACATACAGCATACTGTGAATGTTTAGGCCATCTTGCAATCTGAGAGTAATTCCTCTTTCTAGATCACTGCTTTCACTTCTCAATTTGCCATCGAGTGTGAGCTTGTGCATGTATGCATACATATATAGCCAGAGACATGTGTCTGCCTAGATAGGTAAATACATATATATTGAAATATTGGATAATCAAGCATAATTTTAGGGGAAAAAAATGAAGTGTTCAAACTAGGCTCAGGTTCATTTTGTTGCTCAAGTCAAACTTCAAAAGCACTGTAATTTTTTTTAACCACATAAAGACACGTCTAAAGATAAAATATTGAATTGGCTAACCTAAAAGAAAAGTGTCTCAATTGGCAAAAGACATTTGGGCTTGAGTCTGCATTGCCTGCTTATCCAAAATTTTCACTGGGATCTCAAAATACAGAGGGAAGGCAGGATGAATCGGTCCCTCATCATGTTTCTAAACTCAGGGATTTCAAGAGTGTTTTGAGACCCAGCTGCTTAACTCGCTGTGGTTCACACCGGGTGCCTAATGCCCCTGAGGTCCTTTGAAGAGCCCAGTGTCGGATTAAAAAGCATAACGGAAGCGAAAGCTGAATTGCTAGCAATACTTTAATTAATGAGTCCTCTTTTGTGAGGACTGCATATTTCAAGTAACCTCATCAGTGGTTACCAGTCTATGAGATTAGATTTTAGAGGGAGTGGTTCTACATAGCTGTTACTCTGATTGAAACCATTTTGAAATTATCTTCAAGACAGTTATATGTGCAAACACTGTCCCTAATCCCTTATCTGGGATTCATCCCCCGGATAAACAGCATTCCACAGCTATCAGCGGTCACTCCACAAGCAATGCACATTCAAGCTGAAATTTTCTTGTGCCTCATTCTAGGCTTAAAATATTTCATTCAAGAAAATCGGTTAAAAAAAATGCTGTTCAAGCACTTGCAAAATGCAAACACTGCTAGCAGAAGCAAGCTCTACACAAGTACTGCTTTGCCTGCTTGGTGACAGACCACGCAGGCTCGGTGTCCACATAAGAGTGAGATGTAATAAAGTTGCCTTGTTCGATATATTTTAATAAAGGGTAAGAAATTATCTGCAGAAAGTGGGAACATTTCACTCCCGTAATATGATCCTCAGCAATATGCACATGCAGGTTTTGTACCTTTTTACTTAGGATTAACAATTAATAAATGGTAAGCACAAGATGACCCAGCAAACCTCAGGTGGTTCATGTTTTTTCAAAGGAACTCCTAAGGCAGCTGCCAACAGTTATAAATGAGAAAATTTGACTAGTGTCAAAACCAACTACGGTTACATCTTCTAACAGCTGATAACAATTCTCAGGCAACAAAGCACATTGATGTTTGTTTCTTTTAAGGACAGAAACATCATCAACCCCAGAACAGCAAGACATGCTTTGCAGTAAAAGCAAATGACTACTTGTTTTCTTAGAGCATGCAATGTTTAAAGATGCACGGAGCCGATTCCCAAGATATGGAAAGCACTGCTTCTGCACACAATCCATTGGCATTAAAATTAGAATTTGCATAAGAGATTTGGATGATAGGTAAAAGTGAATTTAAGCACACTAAATAGCTCAGGTATTTTAATGAACCAGTACATGACTGTGGCCAAATTAGTCCGAAAGCTTCATAAGAAACTTTGAATTTCCTCCTCTTGAAAAAGTTTACAATGATTAATGTGCTGATTTTCAGTTATCTCACTGAAATGCTAAGGAAATGCAGTTCTTTAGCATTTCTGATGAACATTGAACAGATGTAAAAATATTTTAATTAAGTGCAATAGCCACCCCCACCCCCCCTTTGGTTGTTGTTGTGTTTTTGGAGCTGCAAATACCTGACAAAACAATTCATTGGCTTGAGACAACTGTGTTTAAAAAAAAAAAAATCATTGTAAAAGTCCTTTTCTGAGACAGAAGCCGTGCTAATTCTGCAGCAATCAACAAGGGGAAAAAAAAAGAGGAAAAACCACAGAAAGAGAGCAGTGTATACCTGGCAGAACTGTCAACCATGCAGTGTGAAAGGATATCCCAATAGAATTACCCGCCAAGCATGTATACTCCCCAGCATCCTCAAAAGTTACATTCCGTATATAGAGAACCTCAATTTCTTTGTCCGTGGTGTTAACACCGGCAGCCTAGAAAAAAAACAAAAGAGGGAAGCAAGAGAAAAAGCTAGACATTGAGAGAATTCTTGTGGATAGGGAGATGGAGCCACAGGGCTTTGCACTTTGTAAAGGCAGAGGTGTAGAGATGCAAAGCTCCTTCCCCATCCACAATCCCTCATCCAAAAGGCGTTTACCAACAGGTCCCAGCTCACCTCAGAAAGTAATCAACACCCTTCACCAGACCTAAACTCACCACCTAAACATGCATGCAATCAAATGACATGGAAAAATTAACCCACAAAGCTTTTTTTTTCTTCTTCTTTTTTAATAAAAGAAAGTTGAAAGAAAAACAAAGAGAAAACAAAGTAGGACAGAATGCAGGATCCTTCACATGTAGTTACCTGTTTCAGAGGAAAGAATGTACTATAAACATATACTCTGAAAGGATTAAAAAAAAAAAAAAGGCAAATTCTGCTACAAAAGACACAACTTAGTAGCTGTCTTAAGCGGTGTATGGTCCTTGCATCATCCATTGCACTACACTTAAATGTTGTACGTTATGCAGTCTTGCCAAACATCATTTTAATCTGAAGTCTGGTAATATTTGGTGGTTTACTTAGAAGCACAGTGGAAGGTATCTCAGCTCTTGTTCAAAAAAGATCAATTGTGGCTCTCAGAGATGTGGAGAAAAACTGGACCCCAAAGATTCAAGACCTTCAAGGAGACAGAAATAAAATATCTTTTTCTAAAATCTTAGAGGCTGAAAAAAAATTCTGGAAGTGTTTTTTTCTGATCTCCTTCCAAACTTGCTAAATTTCTGGCTTGACAAGTCATTAAGCACCAAACCAATCAGTGTATCAGTGATTATCCAAATTCATACAGAGTAAATCTTAGACCTGAAACTTTCCAGCTGTCCCAAGAAGGGCACAGCATGGCATCAGTATCAAGGTCTCTATGACAGAGATTTAGAGAAATTATTGTTTGCTGGTTTTTGTCTCTGTTCCATTCAAAAATGTTACTTTGAAATACATGATGAGGAAATAAACATATTTTTACCAGACCATCTTAAAGTAAATTTAGTTATGAGTTGTAGCCACATCGTTGCCAGTCTTTTTTGTTACTGATGGGTTATTACCCAGTTAATAATGGGTGAATAACAAGTGGAAAACCCTCCCACCCTGCACAGTCGCAGGTGACGTGGGAAGTTGTAAGTGACTAAACTGATCTGACTTACGCTTCAGTGGTACTTATGTGAACATTTCATATATATATACACACATATGTGTATATATATAAATATACACTAATTAGATGGTAATTACATTATTCAACGAGTACCCTATATGTGAACTGCAAAGTATGCAGAATTAATAACAAAACTGGACGTAAACACACAGACACAAAGACACCAAACACGAGAGAATAAAGATCAGCGTCAGAAACCAGCATTTATGGTACACACAGAATATTGTGGGAATTTTTCCATGGCTGCTGGTGTAATACCAGTTGCATCACCGAAGGAGGATTACACATATACCACAAGGCCAAAGAGTTATCCTACAAGCTGCCTGCAGTCTCCCAAAGCACCATTTTTTCCAGCTTCTACATCCAGCTTGCTTTAAAAAACGTTGTTACCTTGTATACTTGGCAGAACAGAGAGCCAGGCAGACTGGTTGGCCTCCCCTATATAATTGGAGACCTTACAAATATATTCTCCAGCGTCCGCCTCTGTCACATTGTACAGTGTCAGCACTTCAGCATTGGAACTATTTATCCCCGAATGCTAGAATAGACCAATAACACAGGAGAACAGTGTCACTGCTGCCCAAAACGGACACCAATCTATGGTCCCACCACCAACACGTCATAAGAATACGCCTTCCACTTCATACAGGCATCAGCGTCAAAACATTGAGGATTTGGGGTTTCTTTGGGTTCTTTGTTGTTGTTTGTTTTTTTTAAAATCCAAAGCATCACACGAGGAGTTAGAAAACAGCAGCATGGGGTGAAAAAGCACCTGGGCTGGTACACCGGCTGCGTGAAACAAGATGGTATAGAGCTGGCTGTCCTGCCTGCCAACGCACTGAGTTTTGGCAATGCCACCCATTTCGGAAAACTCTGGAGTTTCCTTGGTCAGGCTTGCTCAAAACGCCTGCCGGCAGGAACAACACCACCAATATGTGATCAAGGCCTTGGAACAGGCTGCCCAGGGAAGTGGTGGAGTCACCATCCCTGGAAGTATTTAAAAGACCTGTAGATGAGGCGCTTAGGGACATGGTTTAGTGGGCATGGTGGTGTTGGGTTGACGGTTGGACTTGATGATCTTAGAGGTCTTTTCCAACCTTAATGATTCTATGATTCTATGATTCTATGTCGGTGAAAAACGGACATCTCTGCGGGCTCAGCATCCAGAAAAGCCAATTCTGCCAACGAGCTTTTGGCGGCAGGTGTCATGTTACTTTGAAATAAAGAGGCTGAAGAAACGTGAAAGAAATGGAGCAGATTGTCCCAGGTATGTTTTGGATGCGTTCTACCCATACATAAATGTCAATGATGTTCTTTAAGAGGGTTTTCATTTTTTTCTGAATAAGTCATGCCTGAAACATTCAGAGATAAAGGACTTCACGGAAGTCAAAAAGAGCAAAACAGTGTCTATGAGCTGCACAATTAGCATTTAGACAATCAAATGTTTATCTAACTCATTATTTCATTTGTAACATAAACACTTCCATTTTCAAAAGAAGTTCAGATCTCAAAATTCTTGGATTTACATCAAATAAATTCAATGCTTTAAAGAAGTCATCACCATCGCCAGCATCTGTAAAGCCTCACCTTTAAAACCTGAAGATACGGCAGTCCATCTGGTCCGTATTTACTGCCATTCTTCTCTACATGTTTTATCCACTGAATATGAGGTTGAGCATCGCTGTAGACTTTGCAGACAAACTCGACGTCACCTCCGACGACTGCAGAGGCATTTGCTGGAAGGCCAGCTTGGAGGATGGGCCTGTGCGGTGATCGCTCTGTTCGGGTGGGGAGGGGGAGCGAGAAGGAGCGAGCGAGCAAGAGAAATAAAGATGCATAAATAAGCAGAGCTGCCAAGAAAACTGTAAGTGAACTCGAGCCAAAAAGCCCTGTAAGCCTGTTGGCTGACTCCTCTGAAATAACACTGCAGCCAAAACGTTTAACAAAAACTACAGTTCAAAGGAGATGACTTGAGCACTACACTTGTAATATAAAGAATAGCTATTTGGGGGGAGGGGAGAAACCTTGCTTAAAAACTTTAAGCATTTTTCATAGTTCAACTCAGCAAGAATTAAGTAAAATATCTTTCTTTTTTTTTTTTGAGCTATTGTAGTAAGTACCTCTGAGTTTTGAAACATTCTAATTGGACTAAACCTCCACAAATTAGGAAGAAAGATTATTGATTCATTTTAAAAACCGATTAATGTATTAAAATAAACCAAAGGGAATTTCTCAAAACTAGCAGCAGAAGCCTCAGCACTGAAACTCCTCATGCAGGGTGCACATACCAGACAGCTTGACTTTTCAAAACACTGTGATGAGTACTACCACGATAGCTGCTCCCTACTTTACCCAGACACAGCAGCAGAAATACCAGTTCTTTCTTATTCTGAGCAGGACACAGGGAAATACAGAGTTCTCTGGAAAACTACAGTGTATTTAACATGAGCCAATAGAGCCTTTAATCTATGGACTTGCTTAAGCATTTATCAGATGTTCTTGGTCAAGCTTACATCACTGAATATAGCGAGTGCACCCTGTATCACCTGGGTATCTAAAGAGCCACTACAGCCAGTGTTCCCAGCCCGATTTTGTGGATGCGACATACACAGCCTTTGGGCAAAGCACCGATGGGAGCCTCGCCCTCAGCTATGACAGCGAAGCAGCTTTCCACCACCCTCACTAAGCCTGATCTAAAAGCTGCTAAAATCTTCTGGGTGGTGGGCAGGGCACGAGCCCAGCTCCCCAGCTTCCAGGGCCACCGACAGCCTTTTATTGCTGGAAAAGACAAGTGGGCAAAGCATAAAAACTTTTACATTCACACATCGCACAAGAGAAAGTCCTCAAAATGACAACCCTGGTTACCAAATTTTTTTATTATCCAGTGAGCACGATGGACAATACCTCCCTCCCCAGAAAACCTTCAGAGAGCTGCAGTTTCATCAGCCTAGCTGGGAACTCACCGCCTTCTTCATGCAAACTTAACTCTGTCCGATTCTTTTTATAAGAATGTAAAGTTAATACTGACCTACATATACTTCCAACGTACGAATTAGAAGTGAAAAGCCCATTGCCCACCCCCAGCTCCAGCCATCCATTCTCCCCTGCTCCAGGAATTCTTTCGAAGATAAGTAAAAAACAACGGACCTAAATATTTATTTTTAGAGGCTGTACACTGTAAAAGCTTTGACATTACGAGCCAAATCAACTGAATTTCAAATCAAGCGTTCCTTCTTAAACATACTAGTTTCCAATAAACTGTTTCACAAGCAAACATCGCGAGTGTAATAGCAAATAATGATGCCCATGGAACAATGGGATCTTTTATACAGTCCAATATATTTGGCATGCGGCAAACATCTACTGGGAATTTATTCACTGAGGCTATGCTGGCAGCGTACTACAAAGCAGCAGTCTTATTTTACTTGTGGCAAAAGTGCATTTGTGTTGCAGTTATTAAATTATTCCATGGCTATGTGTGTCATTTTCAAAGATCTAGGAACAGTTTAATATTTTTTAATTTGTAAATTACAGTAGAACATATGAATTACTGTTTTACAGTTCTGGAGAGAACTTTTAGTTTCTCACCTTATACTAAATAAGCTCTAATTCCATCTCCCTCGCTCCTTCATTTGGGTACAAAAACAGCAAGCAAAAATCTCTCTTTAATAGAAACCTTACACCATCTTCCAAAACTTATTACAGCTGCCTTCAGTATAAAATGAAACCTTAGAGAATGTTATTTAAAATGTTTTTTAGAAGTCAGTAGGCCTCATGTTTCATTTCTCCACATCAGGGTTTGATTTCCTTTGTGACCTTACTCTCTGCCCTTAAACAAACCAGAGAATGAGGCCTGAAACATCTTGGAAAAGTTCCTACTATGCCAGCATCAACACACGAAATGTGTTTAGTTTATCCCGATAGCCATCAATGATTTAATCTTTTATTGATGACTGTCAAACGTTTCCTCTACCAAAAAAGAGGAGGTAAAGCAAAGAAGTAAAAGCAAAGTTCTTACATTCTTGGTCCCAAATTCCTTTGAAAAAAAATCAAATTAAGTGCGTGCATATGTATAGGCAAGACATTTGTGAAATTTCTTCTCTAAGGGTAATGTGTTAAAAACAAACTTTAGTTGCCCTCCGACATATGGAGCAACAAACAGCGTTGGTCAACTCCCCCGCTTCAGCAGAAGGGAGTATTCCTATGCCCACACAGGCAAATAGCGCAGAAGAACATCACCATCGTGATGCAAATTCAGCAGGGTTTCATGACAATCCTGGAGTCCAAGGACCACAAGAAATACACTCAGTATTGGGGGAAATAACTAAATATGGAGAAACTTCCACTAATTACAAATGACCAAGTATAATTCTGTACAGTATCATTTCTTGGAAATAGTCATTTCAGGATGCTGTCCTGTCTTTCCTATTTCTCTGCAAACCACACACACCTAAGGACTCTGCTTAAGCATAGGTACTGTCAAAACCATACCTTACATCACTATTTCACATTTAAATTACAAGCCTTACATCTGTAAGCAGATATCATCACTCAAACAACTGGCTACAGTAATATTAGATGGAAACGGTGTGTTCTTTTTTACTAAGGACTAGCAAAAGAGTCAAAGCTGCCTTTAAAAAAAAATCTTAGAGGCTGGTGAAACTAATTTTATCATTAGCCTTACATAAGCTAATAATTATAATCAGGATCGTCACTAAACTATAATGACCACATACATCTCTAGTTATTTAATTCAGACAAACAGTATTTTCATACAAAACAAATTGGTAACCAATCTCATAGCTCTGTAGCCCTACTGATTTCAATATTCCCCTTGCTCATTAATATCAAATTGAATCAGAACCTCAAGAAATAAATCTTTACTATTTGATCACTGAAATTTTAGTGTTTCACAGCTAACACAACACGTTTCAAAAACAAGTCAACAGCATATGCTATAATGAGAAAATCACCCCATAGATTAGCTGTCTTCAAGCATACCAAAACACTACATCATAAGAACCATAAAAAAGTAGTAGATACTAATTTTATTACCATAAATATTAGTTACTCAGCGAACAGACACCAGCTTGCTTTCTCCAACCTGCAGTTTAGATACAAAACCAACATCATCCCCATTTGAGGAGTCAATTGTCTACAAAAGGCAGAGCGAAAATGATTGCTCACGTGAGGAATATCATATTCAAGGCTACAAGCATCTAAATTTTACACCGCCATAAAAGTACCCGGGGCTTGAGCAATTCTGCTTGCTTATCTATAGACAAACAGACTCGCGATCTGAAAAGACGACTGACAAAGAGACCTGCCCAATGGCTTAGAAGAAACTGTCATTTAACCTGTTAAAGTTAAAACTTCAGAATACCTTCCTCCAAGAGAGAAAACTGCAAAGAATCCAGCAAAGCTGGAAAATTCCAAGTTTCTGAAAAACTGGCACAACGGAAGGAGCTTCCCACGAAGCTCCCAACCCTGCAGGACACCTGGAGATGGGTGGGAGCCCATCCCTGCCACAGATGATGGAGGGAGAAGTGACTGGAAGAACTATCCTGGAAATGACTACTGGAGCCCAGACACTTCACAAGGAGTCCTGAGAATTGGCTCTTTAAGAAGTTTAAATCCCTGGACAGGTGATTCCTACAAAAGGGCCTCATCTCTCTCCCATCCTTGGCTTTATCTCCTCCAATTTTTTTTTGCTGACCAGCTGCAGCCAACACAGAGGCAAATCAGAGAGAGACAGGAAAGTCACGATGCAAACGTATGAGGTGAAGACGCTGGGGTATGGAGGTGGGTGATAGGGACCAAAAACCAAGTTTCACAGCCGACATAGCCCAGAAGATGCGATCCCACCGCTCCGGTCCTAGTGCGGGGGGTGCAGGCATGGAAAAACAGTGGGAAGAGAGGCTGCTCGCCGAGCACGCCGGCGGAGGGAAGATGTAGGGCAGGATTTGCTGTTGCCAGAGGCCGAAGTAGAGCGTAATTGTGACTGAAAGAGTGGCTCTGCCGCTACTGGAGTGCCTTGGCAGGGAGAGGAGACAATAACCCCGGAAGGGGTGAGCTCTGGGGCCCATCCCGCGGCCAAGTCTCCTTAGCAACCTGGCTGTGCCAGGGGCTGAGAAGAGCTCTGGTAATTGTCTATCCAAGCCCTCCTTGTCACCCTAGCACAGACAGTTCAGGACCTTTCATGGGAGCTAAAAGCCAGAACCAAAGCCCATTGAAGTCAGGGGAAAAACTCACATGGAATTCAATGGGCTTTGGATAAGGCATTTGATTCATTTCAAAAAAAATGAAAACTACTCTTATTTTCTCCTTTTGAATGTACTTGTTTCCTCTCCTTGCAAATGTGTGATTCAAGTGCAGCTTAGGAAAAGAAAAGCTGAATAGCAAATGCAAGACCAAACATGAGTTCTGGGGACAATGGAGAGATGCTCAATGAAGGGGAGGGAGGGTGGGAGAAAAGAAAAAAGTTACCTAATTCTTTTCCACAATTTTTAATTAGACACATTTATCAGAGTCTTTAATAGCAGTTTTGAAATGTTACAACTCCTAAGGAGTGGCCTTGATGGCTGCCACTGTGAAGCTACAGAGGGCTCCCTCAAATGATGCCTCTCGGTGCAGCATCAGTAACTGTTCTGGATCGATAGCCCCTGGTAGCGGTTCTGCGTGCTCAGTCATCGCTGAATGAAAAATGAAGCCGTTCCAGCTGTCCCTCTGCTTAACTGAAAACACAGACCTGCCATGCCCTCTTCACTTGCCCTGGTCA